GAGTGCTTTTCGAGTTTTATCCGTCAGCCGCTTCTCATCGGCATCATAGAGCGGCCTTGTAGGGTGCACAACGGCTTTCTGCGCATAGAAGAATATCTCGCTCACATTCTTCATAGTTTTTGCTGAGCATTCCACACAAGTCTCAACTTCTGGCCACCGTTCCATAATTGGTAATACCTCAAAATCACCCTGTTTAGTAAAATAAATTTTATTAAAATTAACATGTTTATTAAGAATTAAACGACTAAATGAACGGTATTTTAGTTTTTAACACATGCGTTCACAATTCCGCAGACACGCATTTGCTAATTCTGCAGACACGCATTCACATTGAAAGCAAGGTGCCTTCAGCTAAAGGGCACGCGGATGCGACTACGTTCCTTTCTGTTTGCGGCTCGGCCTCGAAAGGACGTGGGCGATGAGAGTATATGGGGACTCGTTTCAAGGCTGCGTTAATACTTTGTGTCACCATGAGCGTATGGTAGCGCTCTGAGTGTTTCTAGCGTATGGCACCATATGGGAGCGGTTTTAACGACTCGAAAGGATAGGTTATCGATCTAACGTTTCGAGCGTTCCCGCGGATAGTTTAGAGGTTTTGGCTGGGCAGTCGCTGGAAACGCTGGCGTACGCCTGAGACGCTGTATCGATATCTATAATTTCCCAGTCGCTCAGACTCGCTGCTGTACGCTGGCGTATACTATGAGCCCTGCCGTAAACTAGATCGATACATAGACTTTCCTATTTGTCAGAATGCTCAAAACGCTGACGCAAAATATGAAGCTCAGGGTCGAGAAACACGCTGAGCCAAACAATTCACAACAAAGCAAAACAACAAACAAACAACAACAATATAAATGCTCTCGAACAGTAACCTTATCTGTGTGATTTGTGGAGCCGTCTGACTTATTACCAACAAGAATCACTGGAATCTCATGCTCCGGACCATAAACATCACGCAATAATGGAAGCCATCTAGGAAAATAAACATGTAGTTACTTTGTGAAAACTCTGCACCCAGTTTCAAAAGCCATTTCTCACTTGTCAGTAACCCGTTTTATTGTATTGTCATCGGATACCGTATAAACAATGCAAACAACATTTGCGTGCTTCAGTTCGGAAGTGATGTATTCCTCACCTAAGACATCAATTAAAAACTAGTGGGAAACTGTATAAAAATTTGGATGTATTTTCTCACCTTCGTTCCCTACCGAGCAATCAACAATGGATGTGGTGACGTTCTCTGGAGTG